CAAGTAACGTAGCCCATGGCCACACTCAATCATACGCACAAAGACGTACATGTGAGGGTGTTCACTGCACCCTTGAACTTACTGGGGAAGAAACAAAAGCCAGAACCACCAAAAGGCCCAGCAATATCAAATAAATTGGTAAATGAGGTGTTAGAGGCTGCAGTGAGCTACGATGACGCCACTGCACGCTGGCCCAGGAAACAGAGAGAAATCCTGTCTCGAGAAAATAAGTAGGTAAATAAATTATGATGCATCCAAACAAAAGGTCTATTAAGCCACAGCAAGAACAAAGCAGCTACGGCATTGACATGGAACCATCACAGAGCTATTAAATGAAAAGTTCAGGGCAAAGAAAGGCACAAACACGGCACATTCTTACGTGTAATAAAAACATAGCGAACGTGCACAAATTCATCCCAACACCTCTGGAAGGAGGCAGCTTACTGCTGGGGGGACTCTGAGCACCAAGGCTGGGGGGACATTCACCCCTTGCTTCTTGGACGTTTGGGATTTCGTACCACAGGCACTGTGTAAAACCTGAATACACACGGACACAGTGGGACAACTAAGTAGGCCACTTTCTTTTGAAAATTTAGGCTAAAAGCTCACCACACCCACTGTTTCTGCCCACTTTCTAGCCCCTTGGGCCATAGTTCAGGGGTTATTTTTGAGGGTGTCAAAGGCCACCAGGAGGCACAACAGAGCAGGAAGTAAATGCCACCAAGCCTGGCAAGCGGCTCACAGACAGATTTCAGGGACAGAAACCAGACCGCAGGGGCCCAAGGAGGGCCGTGTGAGCCTCACGCCAGGAGGGACCCCCAGCTGCGGGGAGAGAACAGAGCATGTGCGGGGCCTGGCGGCCAGACCTGGGGGAGGGAAAGGAAGTGGGGCGTCGCTCTGCCTTCCTGGTGGCAGCCACGGCCCCCACCGTCGGGCCTCAGCCTGGCGGGGAAGAGCTCCAGGCCTCTGCGGCGAGCCCAGGTGCACGCAGGACAGACGGACGGAGACGGAAGGCATGAAGATTTACGAGGCAGGATCCCAGACGCGGCAGAGCAGGCACCTCGAAGACGGGCACGACCACTCTTGCCACGCCCCAGCACACCGTGGACAGATCACTAGTGACAAGTGAACTCTGCCCTCTGACCTTTCCTGGGCCACAGCTCAGGATTAGCCCAAGGGCAGCATTTTGGAGGTCAGCGCTGTCACAGTGATACCAAGGTGTCTGTCACTTGCACATTTTCACTCTCGGCCTCACACGGGACAGGAATATTCGGAGGCTGCCTGAGCAGGGACAGCACCACGCCGTCGCCCAAAGGAAGATGGCACCTGTGTTCCTGTGCTCTAAACCGTCCTCAGCTGTCAATCTCCAACACGGAACAACCCACGGACAGAATCCACTTAAGCGAAAGCTCTTTAGAATCCTCAGTTGTTTTAGAGGCCAGAGAGGGGTCCTGAGAGGAAACAATCTGGGAACACAACCCCTGACACCTAGAAAAACTCTCCCAGCACAGCGCATCGGGGACCTATTCTAGCACATTCCACAGCAAGGCTGTTCCTAACAGTAAAACCTGGACACACCAACGGAAGCTGGATCTTAGCACAGGGTCTAGCTCACGAACTGCAGGCAGGGTGGGACAATTCTGGCCTGCATCTGTTTCTATGAAGTGTGACTGGGACACGACCAGGCCTGTCCACTTACGGATCGTCTGTGGCCGCCCTGGGGCACACCAGCACGGTTGAGAAGCCCCCAGCAGGCTGGCCCACAAGGCCACAAAACTTACTGCGGGACCTTGTACAGCGAGTCTAGCTGACGCCTGGCTCAGAGGACGTGTCCTCAACGGGAGCGCGCCGGGAAGGCTGGCCGAGGTGAGTGGGGGTGCTGGTGGTGGGGACCCCCTCCCCCGCTTGTGCAGCCTGCGAGACAAGCCTCTGGTCTCTGTGAGGGCACACCTGGTGCAGCACTGTTACAGTGGCCCTTGCAAGGCCATTCCTGGGCCACCATCTCGACTAATGTATCAGCCTGACCTTAACGCAGCCTTTGCGACAGGCCTGGCCAATATAGCTGTTTTTCTAAATGGTCTACTTAAGTTAGTAGTTCTCAACGGGGGACTCTGCCCCCTAAGGACAGTGGAGACAGCTGTGGTTGTCACAGTGTGAGGGAGCCCCTGGCATAGAGTAGGTGGGGCGGGGACGTTGCTCAGCGCCGGCAGTGCCCAGGACACCCCGCACCGGAGCAGAAGGAGAGACCCCCTGAGCTAGTTTGGTTCATGTACTTTTACCATGACCCAGGCGTGGGCTCAGCCCTCGGCATCCCTGGCCTCACTGAATTCCCAGCACAGTGCAACGTGGCAGGCCACCATTAGCCCTGTTTGAAAAACAAACACAAGAGAGAGCTGGCATCGCCGGCTAGAGATGTGGAAAGGAAAGCGCAAAACATTGAGTTGCGCGTGCTAACAGCGCTTCAAACGCAGCTATTGTTATTTTTACGAACTGTCAGAGAAGAATAAAAGCTGCAGATGCCTCTCCCCCTGCCCAGGCTGGGGCTGCCAAAGTCCCTGCTGCCACTGGGCTCCCGCATTTCCGCCAATCAAGTAACACAACCGCCGCTTATTCAGCCCAGATGAACCTCCATATCCGAAAGGCAGGCCGGGCTCGGCTCTGCTCTGCCTCATGGTCTCATTCCACCTCGCTGCAGACCTTGGGCCATCCCCCCCTTAAAGACACAAGGATTGTGAACACTCTAGAACATTCTGTAATGACGAAAGCCCACTTGCACCCCCTGGAAAATGGAGCTGCTTTCTACTGCATCAGCCCAGTGAGCATGCAGGCTTCCTGGGCTGCGAGGGGCCACTGTCCCACCCCCGTGTGTGGCCAGGCCACTTCCTAGCCGAGCGACTGGGGAAATGGCGTCACCTCACTAAGGCCCAGAAAACAGAAACAGCTACAAGCTCCTTGCCGCGCGGGGAACGGCCGCAGGGGGCAGGAGAGGGGGGCATAAGTTCATGAAGATCTTTTCCTGACTACCAAAGCTGCCCGGCGAGAAGAGCTCAGTCTCAGAAACCAAAATCCTGGGCTGAAATCCCAGCTCCCCTCCCAGTCGGGATGAGTTCCCACTGCTCGTGTCCCGTCAATCAAAAGCACGTCGTGCGTGTCTAACAGAAGCTCTCCTGTCATTGCCACACTTTAAACTTACAGATGTGATACGCACTTTTGTGTGGATTAAATATGTCACAAGTGAAAGGACATGGGTATGGGTCATATGTAGACACCTGTCAAAATTCTCCAAATAGTCTGCCTAACGGCTATGTGTTTTACCATACACAAATTTTTAACTTAAAAAAAAAAAAAACAGAACCACAAATACCAAACTCTAGTCAACAATGCAGTGGTGATGTGTTTAGTGGTGACCCGGATGGGCATCTGTCTGCAAATGAACTTTACAACGCATCCCAGGAAACTGGGATTGCTGGATGAACAGAAAGATAGATCCGTGTGACAAACCTAACACATCAAAATGCCAGCAGTAAAGTCTACATGGGAGGAGGTGTGTTTAGGTGTTTCACCACTCTTTCAACTTCCCTGCATGTTTGAAATACAAAAATTAAAATGCTAAATCGGTGCCTGGCATACGGTGGGCACCAGATAATATTCCCTCCTGTGAACTTGATAGGGTGAGAGTCCAGCCCACCTGTGAGCCGGGCCACGAGCACGCAGGTTATCAGAAACTGTGTGAAATGAAGGGCAAAGTCAAGACGAGTCTGGAAGCCACCGCTGGAGACAGAGGGAGAAAGACCCAGTGGAGGCCCACTGAGGTCGCAGTCCTGCCTCTCCTCCCACACCCGCCGCGGCCCCAGCAAGTCCCCAAGTCCTGCAGGTCTGCTTCTCCTGGGAGGGCGGGTCAACTCGGATTCTTAAGACTCAAGTCATCGGTCTTTTACGGGAAGGAGACTAAGGAAGTTCTCCCAGGATACCACGAGCCGGAGAAATTAATCATCAGGAGTCAGCAGGCGGGATCCTTCCTCCCAGCCCCCAAAAAACCTGGCCAAGCCCAGATCATTTGTTTTTCAACCTAGACACCAGATGGCAGCAGTACCCAGTTCAAGATTCGACAACAACAAAGTCGGGCACACGCAGCCCAACTGGCGACTTTTAATCCAGTTCCAGGAGTCTCTGTGGCCTTGTCTCCACAGTCCAGCCAACTCCAGCAGACGGGAGCCACACCTTTGATCTGAACCACCTTACCCCGCCGGGAAATCCCACTCCTGGGACGTCCCACTGTCCCCCAACGATGCCAACAGCAGTAGAAACCCCCAGGTGCCAATGGAGAACCCGTCCCAAACGCGGGCAGCTGCAAAATCCCAGGTGGCCATTTTAAATGCTACAAGGGCCCGGGAAAGAGAGAGACAAGCAGATCCCCTCTGAGCCCACATCGCCCCCCTTCACGGGCAGCCCCAGGAGAGCAGGCCCGGAGTGTCCGGAATTCCCAATTTGCAAACACCATCTCCAGACTGTATTCACAGCTAATCCAAATTTCTAGAAAACAGACTGCGCGTTTAACAAGCACAGGCTGGAGGCCATCAGTGTGCGTTTTAAAGAAAAACTGGCCCCTTCCGTCCTATCTGGGTGATGATCCAAACGCGGCCCTTCTGCGAAATTCCTCAGCCCTCCATCCACCACTTCCAACTTCTTTTTCTAGAAATTGTTTTGAGAGGGGCCTTAAAACAAAACAAAACAAAAAAAAACTTTAAAAGCCCAGACGCTACAGATTCTCAAGTGCAAGCTGCCTGCCCCAGGGTGTCGATCTGCGGGTCCCGCCTTTGTTCCTTCCTCTCGCAGGCATCTGAGGTTTCTGTGGACTTCTCCTTCCGGGACACGTGAAGCCGGATGGACGAGGAGGTGGGGGAGGAGAACGTTCCTGCTGGTGGCTGCCCAGGCGCGGTGCCTGGACCAGGCAAGAACAAAGGTGCCTGGCGGGCAGGCGGCCTGCAGGGCGGGTTTACCTGTTTGCCCCTGTAGAACAGCCGCTGCAGGCTGGGCTCCACGTGGAACAGCTCCTCGATCTTCTCCCGCAGCTCTTCCACTTTGGTCAGCCTGGACAGCCAGTTCACCGTGCGGGTCTTTAACCCGTCCATGGTCCGCACCCGGATCCACATGGTGACGGTGCTGTGGGGAGAGACGGCACGAGCCCAAGGTCAGTTGTGCTGGGCGGCCAGGCCACGCCACGCCACGCCACGGTGGGGTCTGGCTGCTTTTGTCCGGCCGGTGGACAGCAGGAACTCCCAGAGCGCCCTTTCAGCCTCCTGGTCTCCACACACCGCGAGTTCCGGCCCAGGCCGAGCCAATTAAGGACTTGATGTGCTAACGACTAGCAAGTGCTGAGGGCTGAGGGAGAAAGCGAGGGGAGCAAAGGGACTCAGACCAAAGTGCAACCCACCCCCCTTTCACAGAGGAAAACGCCTGCCACCGGAGGAGAAAGCAAGCCTCGGCTGAGGTCGCGCAGCCACCCTGTGAGCGGCCAAGTTGCCTCGTTCGTTCATTCATTCATTCATTCATTCATTCCTCCGATTCACACTGACGGAAGAGGGAATCCCAAAAGTCCGAGTCCGGCGCGGGCCGGAACTTCTGAAGTCCCAGGAGAACTCAACCAAGCGCGACTGAGAGGAAAAGACCCCACCCGAGACCCGCGAGCCCGGGACCCCTCGGTGCCCGCGCCCCCCACACTCCCGCACCGCCACCCTCGCGCGTGCGCGACTGGGCCCGCCCCGCGGTGGCCATGGCAACCGGCCGCCCCGTCCCGGCCGCCCCCGCGCGCGCGCGCGCCGAGCTACTCACCTCAGACCCCCACCTCCAGGCGGCTGGCGCTTCCCCGACCCCGGGGTCCCTCCCGCACTCCCACCGGCCCGCGCGGGTCGCGGCCAGCGAGCCCACGCCCACCCCCACCGCCGGGACCGGCCGAGGGGGCCCCCAGCTCGCCAAGTCCCGCCCCCTTCACTCGAGCCGCCTCTCTTACTGGCTCCGCCGCGGCCTGCCGCCCCGCCCCACTCGCCCCCCATTGGCCAAGAGGCGCCCGGGGAACTCAGGGCGCGCGAAATCGGGCTCGGGCGCGACAATTGAATCGCGGGGCGCCCCGCGCGCAGGCGCGGAGCCTGACATCCTCCCCCGCGGCTCGCCGGGCCCTCCCCCACCCAGCCCGCCCGACCCCCGCGGGGCTCCCCGGGACGTCGCTGTCGCCGCGGCCCCAGCCGCAGTGCCGGGCCGGGGGGCGACTCCCAAGGGCCGGCGGAGGCGGGAGGCCCCGGGTCCCAGGCGAGTGCGCGCGGTGGGCGTGCGCCGGTGTCCCGCGACCCCTCCCGGGCCCGCTCGGGGAAGCCTGGCGGAGTCCCCGCACCCGGGCGCCCGGTCCCGGCTGGCACCCGGCCGGCCCGCCGCTCACCTCTCCGGCCGCCGTCGCCTCTCGTCTGCCTGCGCGCCTGGCCCGGCCGGGGGTGGCTGCGGAGCTGCGTGCGTGGCCCGGACCCCGCGCGGATGCGGTGCGAGCCGAGCGCCCAGTCGGCTGTGCTGCCGCCGCGCTGCCAGCTGCTCTGATTTCTTTCCCGCGAAAACTCGGCATTTGGGAGTTGCGGGGCTGCGGGAGGCCGGCCCGGGGGCGGGCGTCTGGCTGCTGATTGGCCCGCGCAGTGGCGGGAAGCGAGAAAGAGGGTGGGGGACGCCCCCGCCTCTGTCCTCCGCCCCGCGGCCCGGGGCCCCGCCCAGCCCTGTGCGCTCTGCCGGGCGCACCCAGCCTGCGAGGGGGCTGCGTGGCAGTACCTAGGTCCCCCCACGTGCGTGCCCCCTAGGGGCCCTGGGGACCCCCAGGCTAGGCTAAAGACCCCCAGAGCTCTTAAGTCTGCTCGCAGCCTCCCTTCCACGGGCACTCACTGACCACTTAGGCTAAGAAGGCCGGAATCAATGTTTCAATACTGGGAGAGAATGTGGGCGGCCCCTCCCAGACCACCTGCACCCCCATGGCTGGCCCGATCACCCCAAGCCCCGCTGCCTAGATTCAGGGCCCGCCAGCGCTCCCCACCCTACCCACCCGCGGGGCTTGTTTGCTGGTTTTTCCCGCCTCGTTTTCCCGCCTTCTCCGAGCTGTCCAGAGCTGTCCAGGCGGGCAGGGCTGCCCTGCCCCCTCCGCCCTGTCTGTTCCACTCTGGCTAGTCTTGGCGGGCACACAAGTGACCCGTGCTGGGCACCTAAAAAGCAGCTGGACAGGGTGCTGGGAGCTGGGGGAGGGGGCAACAGAGCAAAGCACACCCGGTTGGTGATCTCGGGGAGCGTCAGTTCTCATCTGGGGGATCCAGGCAAAAAATGAATAAATACAGCAAGTAACTTCAGATAATTCCTGGTAGGAGAGTCGATGAAGGCTGAACAGTGACCAGGGCCACGTGGGCGGCGGGGGGAGAGGCTATTCTGATTAGGGTGAGTGCAGTAGGCCTCTCTAGAAAGATATTTGAGCTGAGATCTGAGACTACACTCCAAGGACAGTGGTCTAGGAGGGAAGGGCAAGCTCAAAGGCCGGAAAAGGCGTAGAGGTGTCCGGGGAGCCGGAAGGGGCAGACAGAGCAAGGGAGGGAGGAGGGGATGAGGTCAGAGGGGTGACATGTAATACCTTGAAGGCCACCAGGAGGACTTTGGTCTTTCTCTGGGGAACTGTGAGCAGAAAAGCATTGCGTTCCCAGTGGATTTTTACACGGCCTCTGTAGCACTCTGTCAGCGCTGCTTCTGCTATTTCCCCATGGGGCAGACAGAATCGTGAAACACCCCACACACAAAGATGTCCTTGCCCTAATCTCCGGAATCTATGATTATGATGCCTTACACAGCTAACGGGAATAGGGAAATTATCCCAGGTGGCCCAGGGGGGGCCAATGTTGCAAGGGTCCTAGGAGGAAGAAGAGGGAGGCAGGAAGGTCAGAATCACAGGAGATGTGACAACTGGGGTTAGCATGAGCAGCTCGAGAAGGCAAGAATGAGGGCAGCCTCTAGGGGTTAACAAAAGGCCAGGAACAGATTCTCTCCTAGAACAACATCTTGATTTTTTTTAGTTCCTAAGACTCATCTGAGACTTCTGATCCCCAGAACTGTAAGATTAAAAAAAAAAAAAAATGCAGGTTATTCCAAGCCACTGAGTTTGTGGTCTTTTGTTACAGCAGCCACAGGGAACTGACACGGTCTGTTCCATGAAGTTCAGGTGTTGCTGTTAACTGTTTGCAACTGCAGGCCTCGGTCAAGGCTAATGAGCACAGCGTTGGACTGGCAGCTGGCAGCCATGGAGCAATGAGGCCACAGGCGTAGGCAGGAATGAAGCAGGCCCACCTGCGACTGTGGAGTGGCTGAGTTCTTCCCAAGTAAGAGCACCTGCCACTGGGACTCGACCTATTTCCATACGCGCACATAGTTGTTTGCACCTGCTCTTGCAAAAGCTCAACATGGCTGAAAGAGCGAATGGTTCTCCACGTGCACTCGATTCGGGGCATAGCCCGGGCACCTTGGACAGCTGACATTAAGTAAAGCAGAAAGAAATGTCTAGCTTTCCCTGCAGAAAAGACCTTGAGGGGCTATTGATTCAGGCCTCGGATTCCCTAAGCCATCTTAAGAAAGTCAACAATGTCTCAAATTTGCTCGGGTTAATAATTTTAAAACATGACTAAGAAAATATTCTAGGCATCTCAGGAAAAAGCTCACAAACCAGTTAGGAAGACAAGCAGTTTGATGCTCACAAAAGCTATTACGTAAAATAAAGTCACAGGCAGCAAGGTCAATGAATGAGGCCTGACAATCTGGAGAGTGGGTGCTTTCTAGAACCTTCAGTGGCCCTTCCTCTTAGGCACCAGTTTATGTACAAATCAGACACAGGGAATAACAGCTAGGGTGCAAAGGGCCTTGGTTTCCCTTTTGCAAAATGATATTCTCTCAGAGGTCATTAAGTCATTCAACAAACTTTTGTTGTCTCAGCCAGCCATTGTGGTCAATTGTTAGAGTAGCCATAGGGAACCGGATCAGGCAGACAGTGGTGGGCATAAAACCCACTGAGACAAGTCTTACCCTGGAGGGACTTCCTATGGGGAAGACACAGGCTTATATAAAGAGAAATGTCAATCACGAAGGGAGATGGTGGTTTCTGACCGTGTCAATGTTCAGATTGAGCACACAATGCTCTTAGCATCTTCAATACACACCAGATTTCGTGTCTTGGCCATATCTATTATATTGTTTTTCTAATACGCACTGATATAAATGTAGAACCATTAAAATGAAAATGGTTGTCTGTGTAGAACCCCAAACCAACGTGCAAACGTAAGAGGTGCATGTACTAATTTGGGGAACCATCTGATAGGACAGAAAATACTTTGGGCTCATTCCCTGGGTTTCCTCTTCATCATCTGTTAATGGAGCAGATAATACCCGGTTTCCAATGGCTACTATAACAATTGAGCACAATGTGTGGCTCAGACAATAAAAGTTTGTTGAATGCCTTAATGACCTCTGAGAGTGTATCATTTTGCAAAGGGGAAAGGGTGTAAACCCCTAAAATGATAACAGACATTCCTTATGTGTCAGGAATATTGGAGTCTTGTTTGTATTTCCTATAAAAAAGGTGGTGGTTAGGCATGATGGCTCACACCTGTAATCCCAGCACTTTGGGAGGCTGAGGCAGGAGGATCGCCTGAGCCCAGGAGTTCAAGACCAGCCTGGACAACATAGCAAGACCCTGTCTCTGCAAAAATTAGGAAAATTAGCCTCGTGTAGTGACACACACCTGTAGTCCCAGCTCCTCGAGAGGCTGAGGCAGGAGATCCCTTGAGACCAGGAATTCGAGGCTGCAGTGAGCTATGATCATGCCCCGGCACTCCAGCCTGGGTGACAGAGCAACCCTGTGGATAAAACAAAGAAAAAACACTCTGGGAGGCCGAGGCAGGAAGATCGCTCAAAGTCAGGAGTTCAAGACCAGCCCAAGGAAGAGTGAGACCCTGTCTCTACTAAAAATAGAAAGAAATGAATTGGTCAACTCAAAATAATTTTTAAAAAATTAGCCAGGCATGGTTGCATATGCCTGTAATCCCAGCTGCTTGGGAGGCTGAGGCAGGAGGATCGCTTGAGCTCAGGAGTTGGAGGTGGCTGTGAGCTAGACTGATGTCACGGCACTCTAGCCGAGGCAACAAAGTGAGACTCTGTCTCAAACAAACAAACAAAAAAATAAACAAAGAAAAAAAAATTAAATTAAAATTAATCAAAAAATAAAATGGCCAGGCTGCCATTTCAAAAACCAGTGAGGACTCTGAGACTCCCAAACAACCACCTGCCCCCACCCCCCAAACGACAGCCTCGCCTCTCCTCCTGGCCACCCGGTCCCCCTTCCCGGAACTCTGGGTAGGGTGATGTCATAGATAGGACTGCGTCACTGCAGCCAAGGAACTGGGAATCTCGGAGGCATGGGGGAGGGGGAAGGATGTTTCTCCACCACCCCAACCCCCCATGTCTGTGGTGAAGTCAATTGAATTAGTGCTGCCCAAGGATGTGGTCTACCTGGCTGGCTCCAGCATAAACGGGCAGGTGATTCTGAGCCTGAACAGCACCCTGGTGAACCCCATAGTGAAAGTGGAGCTCGTGGGAAGGGGCTACGTCGAGTGGAACGAAGAGATCGGGGCATCCCGCGATTACAGCAGAGACGTGATTTGCAACAACAAGGCAGACTACGTACATAAGACAAAGACGTTCCCAGTGCAGGGTAAGGACAAGACGGGCAGACAGCCCTAGCCATAACAGGGGCCAGGGAGTAAGCACATCTGATAGTCAATCAACAAACCCCCGGGGAAGTCAGAAAAAGTCAGAGTGGCACCTCGGCTCCTTCCTAGGAGGGAAGCTGTGTAGAATGATGACCGTCGGCTGCACACAACACGAAAATAACAAGACACAAGGAGTTGAGCAGACCCCAGATATTCAAAATGAAGATTCAAAGTGCTCTCCTTGGAAAAGGCTATGCTCAGTCCAACAAGTGCCTTTTGGGGGAGCCGTAACAAATCTATCTTGTTATGTTACAGATATTAATAAATCTCCCTCTGGCTGCAAAACCTAAGGACACACAATAAGGTGTCCCAGGGAAAGGGGGGGGGGCAGAAGCGTGAGAGAGACCTACTGAGGAAGGCTAGCCAGTCCCCAGGCCCCGCCCGTTGAGATCTGCAGTCCAAGCAGACATCAGGGCGTCCACACTGCCAGGGAACGAGGTGTCCTTTCCGACATGTGTCTCTGGGGATGTTTCCGGGTGTCAGGCAGAACACGTGGCCAGCGCTTGGCCGCACAACATTTAATTTTAGACTTTTAACATTTCCGGTAGGGTAATCAGGGAAGGTCTCTCCAGATAGGTGACAACTGAGCACAGATCTGAGGGATGGGCTGGACTCCGGCCACGCAGATGTCCTGGGACAAATGGCAACGTGTCAGATGTCCATACTCGGCAGTGACGTCCAGTCTCTGTCTCCCTTAACCCATCCATAAAATGGGCGTGGGAAGAGGGCCTACCCCGCACAATTGTTGTAAGGACTTAATGAACCGCACGTAGAGGGCTTAGCATAGTGCCAAGCATAAAGTAGGGGCTTAAAACTTGTCAGTTCTTCCAATTACTACCAAGACATTCCCCTCCGGGTACAACCCATTTAGCTATCTACCTTTTCACTTTCCAAGTCATTGAACTTCCCCTCCTTTTAAAAAGCATCGGAATGGGCCGGGCGCTGTGGCTCACGCCTGTAATCCTAGCTCTTGGGAGGCCGAGGCGGGCGGATTGCTCAAGGTCAGGAGTTCAAAACCAGCCTGAGCAAGAGCGAGACCCCGTCTCTACTATAAATAGAAAGAAATTAATTGGCCAACTGATATATATATAAAAAATTAGCCGGGCATGGTGGCGCATGCCTGTAGTCCCAGCTACCCGGGAGGCTGAGGCAGAAGGATCACTCGAGCCCAGGAGTTTGAGGTTGCTGTGAGCTAGGCTGACGCCACGGCACTCACTCTAGCCTGGGCCACAAAGCGAGACTCTGTCCAAAAAAAAAAAAAAAAAAAAGCATCGGAATGGCAGGGCGTGGTGGCACCCACCTATAATCCTGGTACTTTGGGAGGTCGAGGGGGGAGGATCACTTAAGGCCAGGAGTCGGAGGCTGCAGTGACCTATGGTGACACCACTGCATTCCAGCCTGGGGCAACAGAGGGACACCCTGTCTCAAAAAAAAAAAAAAGACAAAAACAAAAAAAAACCATTTGCCTGAAGCATGCAATGAGTCCATTCATTTTTGTAACCAACATTTATTGAGCGCCTACTGTATGCAAACGCCAGTGCTGGGTGCTGGAGATGCAGCCCTGATGAATAACACAGATAGGGTCCCTGCTGTCCTGGGGTTTCCATCTGCTGGGGAAGAGGGTTTTGGAGAAACGTAAGAAGGAACATGACATGGAGAGGTCATAGAGATGAGGGCAATGAGAATGTGCTCCCTGGACCTCCGCGGTCATACAATCAACAAATATTAAGCACTGACTGTATGCCGGGCACTGAAGACCAAGCTCCACAAGGGTGGGGAGTTTTGTCCGCCTTGCTCAGTCCTATAAACACTTCCTAAAACCATCTCTGGCAGACGGTAGAAGCTCAAGGTGTGTTTGTTCAATCCTGAGGGCTCCCGCCATGTCACCCACCCTGGGGCGTCCCTCTCCAGCCCACCTGGGGCCTGAGCAGCTCAGAGGGGACGGATAAGCCCAGCCCAGAACCCACCTCCCCACAAAAGCAATAAATAAAGGGAGGAAAAAAAATGAAGGGAGGCCGGGCTCGGTGGCTCACACCTGTAATCCTAGCACTCTGGGAGGCCAAGGCAGGTGGATTGCTCGAGGTCAGGAGTTCGAAACCAGCCTGAGCAAGAGTGAGACCCCCGTCTCTACTATAAATAGAAATTAATTGGCCAACTAACATATATAGAAAAAAAAATCAGCCGGGCATGGTGGCACACGCCTGTAGTCCCAGCTACTCAGGAGGCTGAGGCTGGAGGATCACCTTAGCCCAGGAGTTTGAGGTTGCTGTGAGCTAGGCTGACGCCACGGCACTCACTCTAGCCTGGGCAACAAAGCGAGACTCTATCTCAAAAAAATAAAAAAAATAAAAAAAGAAGGGAAAAAAAGAAGGCTTCTGGAACTTTCTGATGGCATTGTGTGTTTTGCTTTCAGATAACTGGTTAAGTGCAGGCAGCCACACCTTTGACTTCAATTTCAACTTACCTCCCAAGCTTCCCTCAACGTTCGCGAGCAAAATTGGCAACGTCTTCTACTTCGTGCAAGCTTCCTGCATGGGCCGGGAACACATTTTAGCCAAGAAGAGGACTTACTTACTGGTTCAAGGGGTTTCGAACCTTCGCAGAGAAACCCTATTCCAGGTACCCATCGTTGCATGGGGGAATGGCCGGGGTGGGGAGTGCGGGTCATTTGCCAAGCTCCAAGGAGGAAGAGGGAAGGTAGGCAGGCAGGGGACAGGGAAGGCCGTGACAGGGAAGAAGAGAGGCTGTCGAGGCTGAGGGATTGCACAAAGGATCGGCCCGAAACCAGGGCAGGAACGAAGCTGGTGGCTCTCGACTGGGGCTGTTTTATCCTCATAAGACGGTTGGTGGTGTCTGGAGACTCATTTGGTTGTCATACTGGTGACGGGAGCTCCTGGCATGGGGTGGTGGAGGCAGGGACGCTGCTGGGCACCCCGAAGTCCCCAGGACACCCCACCCCAGAGGACCACCTGGCCCCAAATGTCTCAGCGGTGGCAATGGGGGGAGACCTGGCTATAGGGCAAGGCCAGGGCAAGGCCAGGTGGGAGCGGGGCCTGGACACTGGTGGCTCTCCAGGGCCTTTGACCCCGCAGGCGATGGGGACGGTGGCCCTGAGACCTGAGGGGGGGAGGGGCTGTGGCCTGAGTCCCAGGAAGGGCCGCACAGGTCGCTTGCTGAGCGCCAGGTGCAGAGGCGGAAGTCAGGGTGGGTGGAGCGATGTTGGCCAAGTCACTTCACCTCCCTGGGGAGTCATTTGGCATCTAGCACTGGATTATAATGACAAAGGTCACAGGGCTGGCGTTTCTCAGATTAACATCCCAGCACCCCCACCGACCTGCAGTTGGGAGCTTCTCCCAGGCATGCCTCTCCCTGCCCCCACGTCCTCATCTGTAAAATGGGTGTAAAACGGTCTGGCCGCCTAGCTCATTCACTACAGCAAGTCCAGGGCTTCGAGCAGAGCCCGGCGTGGGCACACGCCCCATAAATGCTGCTGCAGCCGCTGCCGGAATTACTATCTGTGTGACAAAGATCATCTGGCGTCCCAGGAGGACAGAGCTGGCGGGGGCGGGGCAGGGGATCAGCCCTGAGACATCCAGCCCGTGTCCCCTCTCTGGGATGGGTGGGAACCTGACTCCTTCAGAAGGACAGACAGGTGGGGCTCAAGACTCTGCCTCTACCCAGCGAACCCCAACTCCCCTGGTCCAGAGCAGTAGCCCGGTCCCCCCACCTCCCACCCTTGCCCCACAAGCCCTGGCCTCCCCACAGCAGTCGGAGAGCACCTGTGGGCACCTGGTCAGGGCATGTCCCTCCTCTGCCCACAGCCCTCCATGGCTCCCACCTACCTGGGGAGAAAAGCCCAAGTCCTCCCTGCGGCCCAGCAGGCCCTGCACAGCCTGCTCCGTCCCCTGCCCGCCCTCCCCTCCTCCCTCTTTGCACCTCCTCATTGTGCTCCAGCCACATGGGCCTCCTCACTGTGCCTCCAACATTGCAGGCCCAGCCCTGCCCCTGCCCCTGCCCCTGCCCCTGGCAGGGGCTGTGCCCTCCTGCCGGGAACACTAAGCCCTTCCTTTTCTCCCTTCTCACCCTTCTGATCTTTGCTCAGAAGCCACATCCTCACGCATCTGCGTTGCCAAATAAACTTCACACATGGCCAATCAGCTGCCACGATCCCCAAGGAAAAGCAATTTAACCATATCTATTGAAATGAATATGAACCTGCATTTTGCCCCAGCCATTTTCCTTCTAGAAATTCTCCCTACAGATCACCCTTCATAGACGCAATATGACCTCACGCAGCAGTGGTTGTCGTGGCAAAAAGTTAGCAACAGCCGGCCGGGCGCGGTGGCTCAGGCCTGTAATCCCAGCACTCTGGGAGGCCAAGGCCCGCATATCGCTCAAGGTCAGGAGTTTGAAACCAGCCTGAGCAAGAGCGAGACCCCGTCTCTACTAAAACTAGAAAGAAATTAATTGGCCAACTAAAAATATATTTAAAAATTAGCCGGGAATGGTGGCTTATGCCCGTAGTCCCAGCTACTCAGGAGACTGAGGCAGGAGGATCGCTTGAGCCCAGGAGTGTGAGGTTGCTGTGAACTAGGTTGACGCCACAGCACTCTAGCCTAGACAACAGAGGGAGACTCTGTCTCAAAAATAAAAAAAATAAAAAAATTTAGCAACACCCTAACTGTTTGTTACTAACGGAATTGTTTGATTAAGTAGAGGTACCCAGTCAAAGGAATACTCCACAGCTACATTAAAGAGACAGAGACAGAGAGACAGAGTGAGACAGAGAATAATGAGGTGGCTTCCTTGCCGGGTGTCCAAGAGAGGGGCTTAAGTGAACACAGCAGGGCTAGTCATCCTGTGCGGTGGCTCACGCCTGTAATCCTAGCACTCTGGGAGGCCGAGGTGGGAGGATTGCTCAAGGTCAGGAGTTTGAAAACAGCCTGAGCAAGAGCGAGACCCCGTCTCTACTATAAATAGAAAGAAATTAATTGGCCAACTAACATATATAGAAAAAATTAGCCGGGCATGGTGGCGCATGCCTGTAGTCCCAGCTACTCGGGAGGCTGAGGCAGGAGGATCGCTTGAGCCCAGGAGTTTGAGGCTGCTGTGAGCTAGGCTGACCCCACGGCACTCACTCTAGCCTGGGCAACAAAGCGAGACTCTATCTCAAAAAAAAAAAGAAAGAAAGAAAAAAAAAGTATGCAATCCAATGTCGTCACCACATTCTAATTTTAGGACATTTCCATCACCCCAAAAAGAAATCTTGTATCCCTTAGCCATCATCACTAAAATCCCCAGCTCCCCAGCCCCTGGCACCCACGATTCCACGTCCCGTCTCTGTGGCTCTGCCTGTTCTGGACATTTCATATAAATGGAGTCACACACTGTGTGTCCTTCTGTGTCTGGCATCTCTGACTGAGCAGGATGTCCTTAAGGTCCATCCACGCTGTGGCCTGCGTCAGAGCCTCGACCCTTTCGTGGCCAAGTGATGTTCCACATGTGGATGGACCACATCGTGTTGATCCACTCACCAGCTGATTTGCACGTTGGGGACATTGTGAGTATGGCTGCTATGACATTCACGTGAAAGTCTTGAAAGATGTCACCAAGTGCCTCTTGTAACAACAAGGGCCATTTGAGAGAGGAGCTTGCCCCAAAGGCCTTTCTAAGCACCCCCTGTCAGGGAGGCCCCTGTTTGGTGTCCCTCGAGGCCTCCTCAGTGTCCCTATCAGAAATGGCACGGGTCATTTTCAGAAGTACCAGTTTTGTTGCCCATCTTTCCCGCCAGGGTAGCAACTGGCTGCTCTTCACTGCTGTGGGTTTGCCTTGAACTTGGCATCAGCCAGGTACAAATGACACTGGTTCAATGAATGAGTCCCCCCCAACTCCCGCCAAAATTTCCCACAAGCCAAAAGAACATGGGATTCAAAAAAATACCCGAATTTAAGAAATCCAATCTTGAGTTTGCACCTCAATGTTCTTGGGGACCAGGGCACTTCGGCCACCCCATCGGCCTGATGTGGGGGCTGTGCTTCACCCCTGTTCGCACCTCCTGGGACCTCTTGGGGACCAGCAGAGAACTGCTGGCTTTGTCTGTAGAGTTAGGGCAGCAGGTTCCTTCACCCCTGCAGGGTCCTAACTCCTCGAATTTTCGAATAAGACTAGAGAGAAACCCCCTGCAATTAGCCTTCTGGAAAAGAGGGGGTGCTAAAGGGAGGCAGGAGCCAGAGGCACACGGTGGGAGGTGAGGTCAGGAGGGCTCAGGGGTCAGCCTGAGGTCCCCAGGAGGAAAGACCGCCCCCTCCACTGCCTGGCACAGTGTTCTGCAAACTGCAGGTCACAACCGGTTTGTTAGTCAGTTGCAAAACTCAATGTCGCTGAATACAAGCCTATTTTTATAAAATGAAAGACTAAGCAAGACCAGAAATAGGCAATTTCAGAAAAAAAAAAATCAATGTGGTGGATTGCAACCATTTTTTCAATAAATAAAAGAAGAGAACAGATAATAAAATAAGTAGAATAAGAATATTGGAGAACATTAATCTGGTGTGTTGCGACCAACTTTTTAAAAATGAAAGTATAGACTAGAATATGTCCCTTTCACCAGGTTTTGTAGCGTCATCATAATAGCATTCTTTCCACGTATCTTGTTTATTTCTAATTTAGCAAGCAACTCACAGCTTAAAACATTAGATTTTACTATTGTGCCGTAGAACACAGATCTCTGTTGTCCCTCTGTATCTGGATCTATGGAAAATAAACAAAAAACACATCAAATAATACTTCTCCTAAAACACACATAGACACAGATATAGAGAGAATTAAGATCAATATTGACAGAGTCTCCTCAACACACAACAAGAGTACAGTGAGACATAGCCCATAGCTAACACACACCACACAACGGACTAAACAAACGAAACACTCACAATAACACACACACAAAGTAGACACCATGGGACACACAACACACACAATGCAACACACATTAACAAGAAATAAACAAATTATTGGCCAATTAAGTTCACATACGAAAATGAAGGTCTCAGACACACAATTACACAACATGAACACCACAAAACACGACAACCTCCTAGTGCTAGGATTAAGAGTCCACCGCCCGGCATCAAAAATGGAATATATTATATTTATTACACAATTTATATATTAACAACCCTACAAATATTTTTACATGAGTTTTCTAGTCTATCTAAGTTTTAGTTTTTAACAAAAATTGGAACAAAAACCCAAAACAATAAACTGTTACACATAATCTGTTGCACGCATATATCTCAAAAACATTTCTTTTTGAGCAGAGTCCTCACTTTGTTGCCCAGGCTAGAGTGAGTGCCGTGGGCGTCAGACCTTGCTCACAGCAACTCAAACTCCTTGGGGGCTCAATCGAATCCTGCTGCCTCAGCCTCCCGAGGTAGCTGGGGATCAGTGCATGTGCTACCAAATTGTCCCAGCTTAATATTATGACCTTTATATTATTAGCTGCAATATTTCTTTCTATTCTATAATAGAGACGGGGTCTCGACTCAGCTGGTTTCGAACTCCTGACTTGAGGCAAATCCGCCTGCCTCGCCTCCCCAGTAGTGCTGAGGATAAGGGTG